AAAATATATATATATATATATATATATATATATATATATATATATATATATATATATATATATATATATAACTCGAAATAAAATAAAAAAGTATTTATTTAGTTAGTTAGCCAGAATACATACAGGCAGATAATAATTTGATCAAAGTAATTGTAGATAATTTCTATTACATTGTACAGTAATCTTGAACAGGTTTGCCCAATTGAATATGGGCAAATTCTAATCTTTTACCCCATTCCTCATGAATTCTTCCCTTCAGGTTTTCCAGAAGTGCTCTGTTAAGGAGGTAGGGCTCAAGGGTTTGGTAGAGCCACAGATCAGAGAGCTAAGACCTGGGGTCTTACTGCCCCTTAAAGATAAGAAGGTAAAGGATATGATGTCCTTTAGTAGACCCTCCAACTGCCTGCCTGTGCCAGCCGCTTGTCCCTGATGGCTGTTCTTTGCGATGCTTGTATGGCTTTCTTACCCTCTGCTAACTTCCTCTGTACACTCTTGTGATGGAAATCTGACACCAAAAATGTTCTCACTGTTCTTTGAGTTTAAATTCTGTTCCTTTTCTTTTATTTCTACTGAACTCATGACCTGTGCTGATTGTAGTGATGTAGCGTGAGCCAAAAGGGGAAACAGATATAATTGGCTTTATGTGCCCTGAGTCATACAATCAATAAACTAGATTTTCGACACTGCTGTCAAAGGGTGTTGTGTGTGTGGTTTTTTTGCATTTATCATTTTAATATAAAATGTGTGATCGCAATTGGAGACAATTCAATTTCCAAAGCTTACCTGAGGGTACGTGATTTTTATTAGGTACATATACGGCTTGAATTATCTAACTAGTTTTAGCATAATCAGATTATCCTGGCCAAAATATTAGCAGATTTAGCTGATTTACAGGAAATTATCAGGACCTAATTTAACATGGCTATCTAGTTTTCTCTTCAAAAAGGGTCAAAGTCTAAATCATATGTATCAATACATCTTAGAATTTGTTTGTTATTTAGGATTTTACAGGACACTTTCAGCTAGCAGTCTGGAGTTCAGAATTTGTTCTTTGATCTTCTCACTTTGCTGCATGCCTGCAACTGTACAAGCGTCCTTATTTAATGGGTTTTCAGTCTCACTTTTTCTCACTTTACCTTCATTTTCACAATACTTTCTTACCGTTAAAAATTGTGCATTGTAATATAGAATTTACAGGTTAAATATTACCAATGAGCAACTTATGCTCAAAATTGTATTCAGTAAACTTTAATTGGAAACAAAATTGGAACAAGCTGGAAACAGTGTTGGTGCATGCATTACAAATTTAAAATGACATGTTCATTGTTCTTTTCCTTTTTTGTGTATAATTTTGTGCAATTTGTTCAGATTAGTTCACAAATGCCTTGGGTCTAGCTCCAACTTATGGTTTTAATACCATAAAGTTTGTTTTTAAAGTAATCCCATTCATTGCATCTTTAAAAATATGATTATGATTACTGTAGAGAAGAGAAATGGTCTGTATGTCTAGCTGTCTAAGCTTTCTGGTATTATTAAGGATAGAAAATTAATTTTATGACAATTCTTAATATTAAACATATTTTGATATATATGGTAGAATATATGATCCAAGAATGTGTTTTCGTCAAAAGCAGCCTAAAGGATTTCAGTCGTCTTAGAGTAGTTTGTGGACTAAGATTGTTTCCTTGTGAAGTGATGTTGTTCCCCACAAACCACAGAATACTGAAAACCAAGATGACAAGAATCCTGACACAGATGAGAACTGCAACAATACAATTCGTCAGAGTCCTGGGGTGAGCTGCAGTGTTATTACACAATTATCATAAACTTAATAAATAATAATAATACACCCCTACAAGAAAATTAATCATGTTATGATAGTATGATCTCTGTGTAAATAAATAAATACATTAAAAAATAAATATATAATAGTTAAAACCCCTTTACCAAAATAGTTATGCAATAGTGTTCTGTGAAACCTCATAAAGACCCAGTAATGGCCAAGTCAATGGTAGAAAATTATTTTTTACTAGGCAGGGTTACTAACAAATTTATATTTGTCTTATGAAACCATACCTAATTATTTTTTTCTCTGACATTTGACCTTTTAAGGTCATCTACTATGTCACAGCTCAGATCTCCAAGGGGACTCCATCAGCCTCAGAGGAATCAACAGAGCGTAGAGACACATCACAGTCTCCCCCATCACAGGTGTCACATGTCAATGCTTCTGACCAATCCCAAAGCCAGCTGCAAGTATCCACTAACAAATTTGGTGCCCTCAAAAGCAGTGGCCCAGCCAGCTCTCCTAGCACTCTACACCAAAATCAGTTGTCTCGTTCAGCCTCGTTGAAGTCAAATCCACCCTCTTCATTGGAAGAAGTTCCAGCTAGCCCAACCCAAGGGAAAGTTCATGTGGTCAAGGCTGCTCAAGTGCAGGTTAGCATAGAAGAGAGGGTAGAGTCTCCAACAGCAATTTGCTCACCAGTCTCTTTTGAAGACACTGTACCGATTCTTTCTAAAGCAATCCCTGTTGGGCCAGATTTAGCTAATCAGAAACATATATTTGTTTCATCCAAGGTGAAGGAAAGGAAATTTGAAGAAATGGAGGAAAATAATGAGGCCTCTCTCAGTCCCGATCTGTCAGGAGAAGAGCCACCTCCGCCTCCTCCTGATAACTTTGCCTTTATGATCACTAACACCAAGGTACAAGCCCTTTCCACTGGAGAGTACCATCAGCTAGTCAATGCCAAGAAAGGTAGTGTGCAGACGGTAACTGTTGGCAGCAAACAACCAAGTGCTTCTGGAAGTGGCATGGCATCAGGAGGTGATGCCAGCACCAGTGACAATGCCAGTAAAAAGCCAGTCATCATCATCTTTGATGAGCCAATGGATATTCGCTCAGCATATAAACGCCTCTCTACTGTCTTTGAATGTGAGGAGGAACTAGAGCGGATGCTTGCAGAAGAAAGAATAGATGAGGAGAGTGAGGAAACTGAGGAAGAAGAGTGGACTAGGGGTGTGAAGGTCAAACAGAATAGAGATGGTAGGGATTCTGGAAAAGGTACTGGTTCAGATTCTCCTGCAGATATCAGAGACAGTCGAGTCATTAACTCTTCTTCATCCTCATCTTTATCTGAGGGAGGGGTATTAGTAGATGTTACTGGTGATGCAAAGCAAGATGGAAAGAAGAAGTTTAAGTTGAAATTCCCCAAGAAACAGCTAGCAGCATTAACCCAAGCCATTCGAGCTGGAAGTAAAACAGGCAAAAAGACTTTGCAGGTTGTTGTCTATGAGGATGAGGAAGAGTCAGATGGAGCTGTCAGACAACACAAAGAGACCAAGAGGTTTGAAATCGATTGCTCCAAAACAGAGTCTTCAAAATCAAATCTGCAGGAACCTAATGGACGAACTAATGAGATTCGTAAGAACACGTACAAAACCCTTGACAGTCTAGAGCAAACTATAAAGCAGCTAGAGAACACAATTTCCGAAATGGGACCGAAGTCTTCAGAAGAGCCTGAAATCTTGGTGAAGCCTGAAACTCAGGACAATACGACTGAAGAGACTCCAGGACACTCAGAGAAAATACTTGCTCCCAAAACCTTGGTCCTTAGGTCGAGTTCTGCCAGCAAAGGTCCTGGTCTACGAAAGAAGACAAAACCCCAGCTCCTTCCTCGGCCTGCCATCATTCCAACTTCTGGGGTCTCAGTCAAACCAGTTCCCACCCAGCAGGTCTCTCTCTAGCTCCTATTACCTTAGCAAAGCCTATGGGTCTGTCCCTCTCCTCTTGCTCACAACAGTTCCACTCTATTCAAGGAACTTCTGAAGATCCTTAGCCTTTCCTGTGGTGGAGGCTACCAACTCTAGGATCTGAACTTTTTAACACCTTCACATATTTTTATAAATATGGTGTATTTATTTCTGGAGTGGTGTTTCATAGATAGATCTTTGTATGTTCACTGATGGTGCTTTAATCTTGGGTTAAGGCAGCCAACAACTTTCAGTCTTACAACCACAGTCTCACATTGTTTCTGGTTCTATTTTGTGGGTTCTAAGGCAGTCTTTAAAGAAACTTTGTTGGTATTCTGGCCAGGTTTGCATGTTTCCTTACATCTCTTTCTGGTATACTCTACAGTGTCATGGTGATACCATATATGTGTTGTGCAAGCTTTGTCTTGCTATGATGTAGGTTTCAAACCACCTCAAATGTGGCTCTCTTTTTTGTTTCTTTCTTTTTATTCCTTTTTTCTTCTGTTTGGTTTAAATCCTTTTTGCAGAATGCCAGCGTGGTCTCACCTACTAGTCGGATGCCAGTGCCTGTTTCTGCCAAGGTCTTTTTCCTCTAGTATGGGAAAAGGCTTGTCCCAGTCTGATTCTACTAATATTGTTAATTCTTCTTCTCTTTTATCTTCTTCCCTTCCCACTAGCAAATCCTCTATCCCTCCTCGATCCAGTTCCACCCCTTCCTCTCATATCCCCTCTGTTTCTAATGGTTCTTTAAAATTTGCCCCTCCCACTCACAGCACTAAAGGCCTCTCTATTCCCACACAGACACAAAATGGTCGACCTTCCTCCTCCTCTTCCTCTTCCTCTTCCTGTTACCACTCCCCTTTATCCCCGACTATGTTGAGTCAGAGTGTGAAGAGTATCCGTACCATTCACACACCCAGCTTCACCAGCTACAGTCGGCCACACAACGGGAGTGCCAGTAAATCAGCTATTCCCACGGTAACTGTCGCCAAAGATGCTGCGTAGAATGCTTCGCTGCTTCGCAACCATTTATGTATCTCTTAATGAGGTGGAGTTTCTCCTGATTTTACTTTGATTCATTTTTTTTTAATTGTTTATTTTTGAACAGATACTGTTGATGTTTCAGAGTTTTGGCTTGGCTATATTACGTTATTATTTTCTCTGTTAAAGTCAAAGGCCATCATCCATTAGTTAGTGTTTGAAACTTGAATCTCTGCAAATCATGAACATATAGAAAGTTAAACTGTTTTATTTTAAAAACTAAAAAAGGATTTAACTGCAGAGAGCAGGCTCTTGATCAAAGATTTTACAGAGCACTTCATTTGAAAAGAATATTAGTACTGGTTGGTTGCACTCATTCTGCGCAATACTCACTCTAAAACGTATAATCCTACCGTCCCTCACCTTCACTCTCCTTTCCTTCTTACAGTCTATTTAAAGTGATTTTTTTTCTATATTCTCACCCTCAAGACAGATAGTTTTTTTGTGTGTGTGCCTTTAATATTTTCACCTATATATGTAGTTTCTGTGTCTTTGATAATCTATCATGATTAACTGTAGATCCCAGTAGTATGATTTGAAACATGCTTAGAAATTTTGATTCCCTATGTTGACAATCAGTGTGTTTTGGCATCTTTGTTTGCAGGCTAATGGAAGTGCTAAGAGATCTGGAGGAGATCCCAAATCCACTTCTCCTACCGTGCCTGCTTCTAAAATTCCTGCTTTTTCCTCTAGTATGGGAAAAGGCTTGTCCCAGTCTGATTCTACTAATATTGTTAATTCTTCTTCTCTTTTATCTTCTTCCCTTCCCACTAGCAAATCCTCTATCCCTCCTCGATCCAGTTCCACCCCTTCCTCTCATATCCCCTCTGTTTCTAATGGTTCTTTAAAATTTGCCCCTCCCACTCACAGCACTAAAGGCCTCTCTATTCCCACACAGACACAAAATGGTCGACCTTCCTCCTCCTCTTCCTCTTCCTCTTCCTGTTACCACTCCCCTTTATCCCCGACTATGTTGAGTCAGAGTGTGAAGAGTATCCGTACCATTCACACACCCAGCTTCACCAGCTACAGTCGGCCACACAACGGGAGTGCCAGTAAATCAGCTATTCCCACGGTAACTGTCGCCAAAGATGCTGCGTAGAATGCTTCGCTGCTTCGCAACCATTTATGTATCTCTTAATGAGGTGGAGTTTCTCCTGATTTTACTTTGATTCATTTTTTTTTAATTGTTTATTTTTGAACAGATACTGTTGATGTTTCAGAGTTTTGGCTTGGCTATATTACGTTATTATTTTCTCTGTTAAAGTCAAAGGCCATCATCCATTAGTTAGTGTTTGAAACTTGAATCTCTGCAAATCATGAACATATAGAAAGTTAAACTGTTTTATTTTAAAAACTAAAAAAGGATTTAACTGCAGAGAGCAGGCTCTTGATCAAAGATTTTACAGAGCACTTCATTTGAAAAGAATATTTATTTTTCATACAAGTTGAAGAGAGACTAAAAAGTACAACAGTTAAAGCATGTAAACAATGTTTTGGTTATTAGTATACTCTAAATGATTGTAGATCATTTGCATTTTGCATTTTTTGTAAGTTGACAGACGTTGGTTGTAGCGATAATAGGTGAAAAAAGTACTGTAGGTTTATTAACCATTAATATAAACTGACAAACATTGCGTCTGTTTTTCTTTCTTTCTCTCATGCACTGCCAATGTCTTTAAAATTTATCATTATAAATTGACAACAGTTTTACAATGAAGTTGTCTGTCTTTTCAGTAGTTGTGCCTGTTTGCCAAAGTTTGTCATTTACATCCTTACAACTGACTATATATACTGTGTTAGACACTATGTACATTTCGGATAGGTTATACCTAACAACCTACCTATGTCAAAAACCCTTGATTTACTCATGCAGTCTATGGGTCTTAAATTAATGAGTATTGATGTCTAAATGTAAACTAAAAATTGTAGTGATTGATAAAATTGCTCTCTACTTCACATGTACATACTGTAACATCTCTATTTCAGAGATTGTCTTTAGTTTTGTTAACATATTGTACCAAAGTTTGTTTCTATGCATGCCTATACAAAATTGTAGAAAGAGAGAATGTAATAGAAAGAAAATCATGCTTGCACAGACAGATTTTGTAAATAAATGTCTTCTTTGGTTTTGTATAGCTTTAATTGCAGAAGCAATCTGTGCAAATGAGTGTAGGTATTAAAACAGTAAAGTTCTGCATGCTTGTCGTTCACATGGCCTCCCACACAGGCTGTGGTTTCTCTACTGCAACACTGCAAGCCCTTCTATTAAACATTTTGGCAGATAGTTCAGCTGACTTGTGTTTTTTATCCTATATATTTTCTTCTACACTTGCATAGTAATGACATTCAGTACACGTTGTGAAGTGTATTGCACCAGTCAAAAATTTGGACACGCTTTATTGAATGTATGTAATGTGTGCTGTAGTGAAAAGGTTTCTACACTGAAGAATCTGAAACATAGATTTAATTGATATGATTTGTTGAAAAATATTCAGAAAATTCCTATGCTTCCATCTGTGCTATAGTTTCAATGACTTTAATATTATGTTAAAAAGTGTAGTAATAATACAGAATACATATGCAATAGGCATGTCCAAACTTTTGACCGGTATTGCATAAATGACCAGATTTCTTACTGTTATTTTATAACAATAAACCATAGCCTATAGTGGATTTGCACACAAATATCTATAACATTATTGTGAATTTGAACAATGCCAGATTTGTCTAGTGAATAAAAAGTTATGCAGATGTAATCATCACAGGTAAAGAGACCAGTAGAGGGTGGTGTGTTAATGGGGATGTTGTAGAAGAGCTGATTCATTTTTGTGTGATACCTCCTACATAAAGACAAAGCATATGACTAAAAGAGGAAACACATGAGCACACACAACATTCAGTTGGTCCATAGTCAAAGGAGGCATTCATCAAGTCAATGTCTGAGGAAGACTAAACTTACTTGTAAGTACCCAAATAATAAGAGTGATACTAATGATAGTAGTATTTTTTTACTTTAATGTTTTCTTTGTGACATTAAAAAAATGGTGACATTAATTTTTATTATAATTTTTTTTGTGTGTGAATTTACCATTTACCTTACTGAATATTGTTTGACAAAGTTCAATATATGTTTATATATTTTATAAATATGGAATGCTGCTCTCTTGCTATTTATGCTATTATAATAAAGCAGTATTAATATAAATAGACATTTTAAGTTCAAAAGAATATGATCAAATTGCTAGACAAGTTCTTAGAGAGTGTATGTATGTATGTATGTGTGTGTATATATATATATATATATATATATATATATATAAACATTTATACAATCAGTTTGTCACTTTCTGCATTTCTGGAGAAAATAATATTGCTAAAACCGGTCATAGAGTTTTACGTTTTGATATGATTTATTTAACATTTTTGGAAAATGCCCATGCTTCCATTTGTGTGAATGTACAGCTCCAATGACTTCACGTTTATACTATAATGTGTAGTAATAATACAAAATACAGGTATGTCCAAGTTTTTTTTTTTATAGATCATATATAAGACATAGACATCATGTAAATAGGCATTTCTAGAGAAAATACTACTGCTAAAACCTGACTGTCTGATACTTGTTTTGACTCATGCCATTCTCCAAACAGAAACTCAGTCTCATAGGATAGACCTGCGCTATGTCGAATCACTCTGTGGAGGGGATTTACCTCAGCTCTCATGTAGAGAACATCCTGCTCGCTGCCTTCTACATTGTCATCTTCATCCTCTCAGTCCCGAGCAATGCCCTGGCACTTTGGGTGTTCTGCCACCGCAACACCAACAACACACCTTCCAAAGAGTTTCTGAAGCACCTGGCTATAGCGGACATGTCTTACGTCTTGGTGCTCCCCATGCGAGTGATCTACCACATGTCTGACAGTCACTGGCCTCTTGGGGAAGGGGCTTGTCGCGTGGTTGGTTTCCTATTCTTCGTCAACCTTTACTGCAGCATGTATTTTATGACTTGCATCAGCGTAGACCGTCTGTTGGCTTGTGTCTTACCACATAAAACTCAGAATCTGAGAAATACCAGGAATGCCAAAGTGGTCTGTGCAGTCCTGTGGGTCATGGTGACTGTTTCCATGTTGCCTGTCCTGTTCTCTAAAAAAGAAGTGACCAGACAAATGCAGAACGTGACAGTGTGTGAACAGCTGTACATAGAGAAATCCTCCAGTCCCACTGGTGCGTTGGTGTCCACTGCTATTGCATTTATGATACCTCTGGTCACCCTGAGTGTTTCTTACATTCTCTTATTTGCCAAAGTAAAACAGTTGACTTTTCAAGAAAGGACGCATGCTCAGCGTAAGGCAATGAGAATGATCGTACTAACAGTGGTTAACTTCTTGATTGCATTTGTGCCCTATCATATCCACCGATTTGTATTTATCCTACAACATGACACACCAAGGTCAGAATCCGAAAGGCAAATGTTGCATTTAGGAAATCGCATCACCTCAGCTTTAACATGCATAAGTGGTGTGTTGGATCCTGTCATGTACTTCTTTCTGGCTAGAAATTATCAAGAAACACTGCTGCTGCTTTGTGGTAGAAACCCTAAAGATGAACAATCAAATACATGATCGGATGAGAAATGCAACTACATCTTCTCAGCTGTTAACTCCCAGACATACTGAAACTCATTATCTGTAAAACA